AAAAAACCCCTGAGAAGTCGATTAGACTAGCTCAGTCGACTGTGAATTTAAGCATTTAACTACTCGTAAGGAGTAGAAAGTGTGCATACAGCCCGTTCTTCTGTTTTGTCTTTAGATCCTTGGTGTTATCCCTAGGATGTGTTGGGGATAAGCTTAAGTAAATATTTAAGGAGATGCCCAGTAGTGTTTAGGATACCGTGAGTTGTTTGGTCACATTTGAGACACTTGTACTCTAGTGGGTAAAGGTTCATTGATTGGAGGTACTCTTCATAAGACTTGAATTCGAGTCCTTGAACTGATTGTATGGTTCGTCGTTGGATACGTTCCGATGTATCCTCATCCTTTCGAAGTGACATTGTGTTCCCATACTCTAAATGGGTAGCATAAAACTGTTGAAGATCATGTTGAAGGTTCTTTGTCAAACTGGTCGAAGATGCGCTTCAACGTTACCAGTGAAAGGTTTGCTTGGAAGGCATCTTTGTTGAAGTTAGCGTAAGACATCGGATCGTTAGATGCCAACACTCCTGGACCTTTTTTTAACTTACGTTGCCTCCAGAGAGGAGTTAACTAAGTTTTAGTCATGGTCTGCAACATGTCTTAAATAGGCTGCTTTACACTTTGAAGTATTAAAGGCAAGTACTCTGTTGTCTGCCAAACCTTCATGTTGAGCCAGACCCTTTAAAAGTGCCAATTTATCATCTTGATTGTAAACTTTTCTCAAGGGTTTCACACCGCCAGTAAAAAGTAATAAATCTGGCAATGTCTGCTGCGGAGGGTCATTTGTACAGATTAAGAAAAGAAGAGGTCCTAGTAATGAACCTTTAGGGACCCCAAGAGGACGTATCATAGCCTCAGAAAAAGTAGAGTAATCCCTGACCTTAAAAGTAGATTATTTAGATATGAAGTAAGTCAATCAATTTTTGATGATTTGATACCCAATCATTTGAACTTATTGTTTAAATAAATATGACTGACTCTATCAAAGAATTTCGGGAAGTCAAGGCATATGATGTCAACCTTCTCGTTGCAATCAAGGGTGGTTGTCCATCTGTCCACCGTGGTCAGCGGGCTGGTTGTGTACTAGTGACATTTTCCGAAACGACGCTGTTGAGGCCAAAAAAAGTGTGCGGATAGTAAGTAGTCACGTGGGTTGTGCATAACAGGGACTTCATAATTTTTGAGGGTATCGAGAGAAGTACTACCGGCCTGTGGTTTGAAGTTTTTCTGTGTCGACTTCCTTTGAAAATCGGCGTAGTGTGATTCAGTTTTCAGTTTTCTGGTACCTCGCTTCGATTTGTTGGGTGTCAGAACACTACGTCAAGTGGTGTTCCTAATAGTGCCTTCTGAAGCTTAGCAAACGAAGAGTGTGATTCTTGATGTATGTAGGTTGCTTATAGGTTTTGAGGACCGTTGCGGGGCAGACTGTTTTGTATTACATAAGATCGTGTGCAGCAAGAAATCCAAATGAGCGTCCACATCTATTTGAGGGTGAGCTATCCAATCCACCAGTTGCAGATTGTCTTGTATAGCTGATACATGCAACCGTTTGAAATTCCAGAGCCTTTTGTTGGTAAGACGTATTAGTTTAGTTTTGCAGAAAGATTGAAAGCTATGATGGCGTGACCACTTTATTCCAGGGAAGACAAGACTGAGTTGTCAAGTAGGGATTATATGTTTACAAATGTGCAGTCTAAGCGCAACGGAGTCTGACTATTTCTCCAACGCATTTCTGATTTGACGTTTTCGAACAATCCCAGATTTTCAGAAGTTAAAGAACCGAGATTCGGTAGAGCTGTCACCTGTAATGTACGCATGTTCAGTGAAGTTGACTTTAGGGAGATTGCAGTTTCCCAGAACCAGGATGTGAGTGTATCGGGTGCGAGTATGAGGAGATAACCCCCCAAGCATGCAACCGCCAAACATGGTGCAGATGCGAGAAACGGAGCTCCACACGTAAAAGATTAGATCTCGGTTTTTGAGCTTTCTTAGAATGTCATCTTACATGACCAGTTCAAGATGGAAGCAAAAGATAAGACATATTAATAGCGAAATCACAGTCCAGTATACGGCAAGACAGTATTTCAGCACCCTGTAATCTGTGGTAAGGTAACGGAAATAGGTTGAGGTTTCTCAGTGTGTCTTCATAAGATAGGTCAGAGAGAATTTTTACTATTTTAGTCCCTTGTTGAATTCGTTTTAGCATATCAGCCTTATGCTTGGAATAAGGAATCCCTTCTTGAAATACATAGTCCGAAAGCGACCTCGGAAAGTCGGGTATAATACCCTTAGAACTTTTTTATTCCAGTGTTCAAACGACTTATGAACAGCCCATAAGGCCTTGAATCCTTTGGCAATGGCAGCCATGGAGTTGCTCGTAGTATTAAGGTCGTTGCCTATTGTGACTCCTAGATCTTTATAGTCCACTACTTTAGGCAACACACATCCACATATTGTGTGGTCATATGAATCGTCACAGTTATTTATTTAGATCACATTTTTGTTAGAGTTAACTTTCAGTGACCAACTCCCCATTCATTATACCAGTGAATTTAGGTCATTCCGCAATATTATTCAATGTGAAATGGTGTGTATGGGTCTCCAACTCTTAGTTTCATCTGCGAAAAGTGGAACAGATGACTTTGCTACAGTTGGCAAGTCACATACAGTTAAAAGGAGTACACGTTGACTAACTATATTTTTTAAAGATTCTCTCTTTGATAGAAATTCACTTACTCTTACTCGTTTCCTCATGTTATTGGGAAAGTCACCTATGGAGTTTGTGATTTCATAGTAGATCCCAAAGTTTTCATATTGTTATTTCAGATCCAGATGAGAGATCTCGTTGAACTCTTTCCTTTCATCTAAGAAAATTACATCTACTGGAATATTTCTATGTTTATTTGCAACCCAGTCTTCTCTTTCAGTGACAAATTTGTCAAGTAGGATTAGCCTTTCCTCAGACAATGTTGTCCCCTTGATAAGAAACTGTTCCCTTCTGTAATGTTTGAAGCAGTCGTTCGAACAATCTTTTTTCATTCGTCACACCAAGGTGTAACCAGAATATTTTATCGTTGTTCCAACAGCTGGGCTTTCCTGATTTTCCATTTACGTAGTGTAGTTTGTTGTGGACTACAACCATTTGTGAATCTAAATGTCGTCTGTGTGTTTACTAGGTCATTACTTTTCCTTGCATTGGTCCTCTTTCACGTAAATGTGGTAAGGGGATTAAGACAAACTCAGTACTCAAAAGGCAGTCAAATGTATTACTCAGTTCATACGTGACGTTTTAGAATAACATATCTGTATCTAAATTCTGTCCCAGTCTCCGCATTACAGTTTTGGACTTGGAGAAGTCACTTTGAAAATTTTACTCAATACAGCGAAAAATCTTGTTTGAAGTTCGAACCCAACTAATACCTAGGGTACACAAACAGTGTATTGCCCATGCGATGCGTGGAGAGTATGTAGTCAAATCATATCTCTTAATTTGTTTGAAATTAATGGACACACTGAAAGCGCGCACAATGCTTCTAGGTTGATGGGATTATGAAGTGTTATCAAAAATTATGTATAAAATCAGTTATAGTAACTTGTTTATGTTGCGGAGAAAATTGATATTAATATTTGTGGCATCATTTTGCTTATCATTTCGTCAAGTACTGAAGCTCATCAGCTCATTTAAGGGGAACTATGTTCTTTGCCGGTTTATCCGAGATAAAGGAGATTAAGTAATCACAGACAAAGAGAGTATTGATGATAAGTGGAAGGACTACTTCGATCGTCCGTGTTGGTATTCAAAATTTTGCTAGAATAAGGTTACTGATACAAGACATCGTGCTGCTCATCAGGTGATCAGTTAAGGGAGCGCAATTTTCGCGTCGATCCGAGGTATTTATGAGCATGACTGTGTAAGTTTGGAAATTGAGGGTTGGATTTTATTCTTCTGTTATCTACGCAATCAGAATCCTTTTTAGAAGACCAAATGCTACCTTTTCAGACTTACTGTCTCCCTGCAGTTTTAATTTTCAACCGTTTTTGAAGATCAGTGACCCACGGTTTCCTGTGCTCTACCTCGGGTATCCAGACACCCAAGTTTGCGTTTGCTGCATCCTCATTCAGCTAATTTAAGGCTGGTAACCAGATCAATTAACTATGTAACTTATCATTGGAAAAAGAAATTTGCGACTGGATTTGGCGTTGTTTGTTCTATGTATTTGTAGGTGTATTATTTCCTACTTCCCTATACTGTGTCATAGGATAGTGCGGTTTTATTTATGAACTATCTCAACTGATCACCAATTATAATTTCTAATAATTTGAAGGTTCTGGGTTCAAAGACAGTGGTTTCCAGTCCGTAGTTCTTGAAGCTCCTACGTTGAAATGTAGAATAAGAATCACTTCCATTCACTCGGCAGTTGTTAAAATGTACAGCAAGCGGTAAAGCTGGTTGCATACGTATCTTGAGGCCTCAAAAACCATCAGATCATTGAGTACCTCGCACCGGGCTTCCTGAAGAACAAGAGTTCAACCACCGGGACAATCTTTGTAGAATGCACATCAAAAAGTGCTTCTATTTGATCCTCAGTATTCTGTGTGCGATAGTCATTTAACGTCTTAATACTAAAGATAATCCTTAACTCCAGTTCCCATTATTTGATCACTCATGCGTTTATTTTTCTCTTTTGGTCCCCAACATTTTAGACTTGAGAAGCCATTGTTACTGCATTTATGACAGTATTTCCCACCATCAAAACCCTTTTTTTATCTGGTATGTCTTCGAGATGGCTTTGATAATAGTTTCATCTTTGTGGAAGTGGTGTAGATTACAAATGTTGTTTGGAAAACGGTTTTTTAGTTGATTGAAAGGAAAGCAGTTCTGAGTCGTGCAAATGTAATAGTGGTCTATTTGATAGGTGGGAAGATGGCAGAATGTACTGGATACAACAGTTATCGGCATTGAAGAAGTTGCAGACACGATAACTCATTCGACCTTCAACCAACACAGCTATTGCTTTCCGTGTTTTTTCGATTTCGTTGGCACGGTGATAATTACAAATCGTTTTTGAATTGAGAGATGCTTGACAAAGATCATAATCATATGAAGGGCATTCTTGATCAATACGAAGTAATCATTCTTTTTTTCTAACTCATCATAGGTTGTTGAATGTTTGGGAAAAGGATGTCAAGGAACATCATATAAGTTGAGACGTCGAGATAATTTCGAATATTTTGTATTAAAGATGGTGAGAGAAAATTTCACATTCAGAATCCTGGAAAAAGATAGAGTGTAGAAGTCTAGACCATGGATATTTATTGTGTGAGGAGTTTTATCATATTCAGAAGTTCATACATCCATACTTATCAAGAATTTTAGAAATTCATATGTCAATGAACTCAGAAGTATCCTTCATTTTTTATATTACCTATGTCAAGAACTCGGCAATTTATGTGTCTGTTATCCGTAACTATATCGATCTGCCAAGCTTAGACTCCATAATTAAAGACAACATAGAAAAATCTAGGTTGGAGTGGAATGTAAGAAATACAGTTTTAAATATCTATCCTAAGGAAAATTAGTTAATATACCGAATGTTTGGAAGCGTACTGACTGTTATAACTTCACTGAAAAAAGCGAATTGTGGCTCTATGTAACTTGTTCATATGTTAACCCTTTTAAAGCTATTTTCATCCTGGTAATATTTTTCTCAGTGAGAAAGGATTTTTTATGACGGATATTTGGGGTCCAAATCTGATGAAGTATTCTCGTGGAGTAGATGTTTATGTGCAATGTATGTTAAAATTAAGCAACACCATATTATTTTTAATGACAATTTACTATTTTCTCTCTATTCACACATAGGACACCAGAATGAACCCTATTTTTAAACTTAACACATTTTGACCTAGGCATGTTTATCATAAATCTAAACACTTGATTATCTTTGCCCAAAGATTTTTTGTAAAATATAAGTACCAGTTTTTGGATCTTAGTAGCAGATGGGTTTCATGTTTATGAGTTTTAACGTAGTTATTGCTTTTCACATTTATGCGAGACTTAAGATTCATTAAATAGTTTTCCCAGAAACAGCACGTTATTGTCTGAAAGTGTGTCATTAGGATACGTAATGATGACAAGATTTGATATACTAATTAGGAGTTTCTGAAATTATCTAATCCATCTCCATCTCTCAATTTTGAGCAAATGTGGGTTTTTGTGTGAACTACTGATTCGTTTGTATTTGATGACTGCTTGATTTCAAAATCCAAATATAATACGTTTGTTCGTGCTCATATATTTTTTCTCGGTTAAGTTGCGCTATTTCTGAGATTCCTAGTTTATACTGCAATTCAAATACTTCAAATAACAACAGTTTCCCCCAAAGTTTGGGGACATATTAGAGAAAATTCAAACGTTTCCAAAAATTTATGGGGGTTTCCTCAAACCTGAGGAAATTTTGCTCTTTTCCTTTAAGTTTCCTGAAACTTTCTGTTGTGGTTTCTCCGAAATTTTCACAAAACAGACAATATTTTCCCCAAAATAGAGAGATTAAAGTACTCCGGTTGTTACTAACGGATCAGAACTCAAGTCAAAGGGGAGGCATACTTAAAAGTATTGTTATTTGAGTTCAACCTGGGCGCATAGTATTCTTTAAAGTAACCTTTGGTGGGACTACAATTTATGGACGATATTCGAGCAACGCTATAATGACTTTGGAATGTTTACATATTTACTAGCAAATGAAGGTTTTGTTTTAGCGTAAGAAATTAGGATAAGGGTTTATAGTTGAGCGTTAGGGTTAGAAGTTAGATTCAATGTTTTCATCACGAAATGACATTAGCTATGATGTCAAAATGGTATTTATCCAAATATGTGAATAAATTTTGAGCCAAAATAAAAGATCTGCTACCTTAAGTCTGATTGCTTCGTTCATAAACTATAGTCTCGCCCAACCGTTATACATACAAACATCGCAGCCATCCATTTGTGAGCCATAGTGAGTCTATTATTCTTCTGGCTAACGGTCTTTAAATTGTCAAGTACAAGTGTAATTGTAAAAGATAAATATTTTCACTTAAAAACTTTTTAACTATGCTTGGAGTTTGCATATGAAGAGCATAACTGATACAACGATCACAGTCTATCACCATTATCTTTAACTACACGCGTCAGCAAATATTGTGAAAATGTTTATCTTTGATAATTAGTGTTCAGTATTTATATCTAATAACAGTTAAAGGAAGTATCTTAGATTTTGTCCAGTAAACTTCACGATTTTGATTCAAAGCATTATATTACTAAGTCAAGATTTTGGCTTAATTTCAGTAAGGAAACAAGTAAGTTAAATGTTATCCACTGAGTAAGGAGTTATAATAGTAGGATGGTTAAAGTTAGAATGAAATCTTCACTGTGACAAAGTTTGAGTTAGAAACCCTGAAAAATGTTTTAAAGTTTAGACATATTTAAGGAGACGTGAGAGAGGTTCTAATCGCACATTTCTGTACTAAATCAGAGTCTTATTTGTTTTATTATTTTTGAAAAACTTAGTTACTGACCTTAAATCAGATTTAATTATAGCAGATATCTTGAGTGACTTATTCTGTATGATCCGTTAACCCTTGATCTATTATTTACCTTTACAGCATTTGAATACATAATAATCCTGATCTTTTAGGTGAATTAGCCATTGAATGTCCTCCAGATGAACTCCCACGGAGACGTTTACGTAAGTATAGAGTGTTTGTTCCATGGTTTACATTTACACCTATGAGTTTAGTCAGCGATCGCTAATAAAATAAAAAAATAATCATAATCTTCTGCAAACATAAGTCACGGTCCTGTTTGACTATAATTATAGAATATTGTCCCCGTTAGTTTCTAGGCACTTCATTTTATTTTTTTATTTTATCGTCTAGTCGTGTTGTTTTGACGTTGATTTATGAAAATCTTTCTTTTTGGGGGGCACAGTTAGCCAAATATGATTAGTTAAATTTGATCACAATAATGCTTGTTTTCAACGAAATCCACCGTCACACATTAAATGAAGATGACATTTCGTCATGTAATAGGACAAAGAGTAATCCGGTGAAATACCAGTTGACGAGGTTTTCTTCATAGATACATTGACAAGATTTTAGAGGTTTTTACTTTTTTAACCACTCTTTCCATTACTTTAATATGGCATTTATTCGGGATTGTTTTAGAAAATGGATTGGCTATTAAAGACAGGAGTTAGAGACTAATGTCTCCGTAGAAGGAAGACTGGGATGTTGTACTTATGAATGAATAACATAGAAAAGAGGGACTCTATCCCCTTTAAAGTTCATTTATAATCGTCTACGACTAGGAAGAAGAAGACGAAAACAAAGTTTACTGAATCACAAAAATAGATATTGTGATAGTATTTTCGTCATATTTGGGGTTGATTGTTTCGTTACATCCTCATATAGACTGATTTTGTTTAAGATCACTGACGTTTATACACCCACAAAATAATGAGGTAAAGTGTGCTCAATGACGTATGACGCAAGGAATTTATAATGTGAGTTCTTAAAAAGTGAAAGCATTGCATATAATCGTGAAGATTAGTTTTATAATTACTCTCAGTAAAACAGTGCTCATACACTAAAACTTTCCATAATTTGACCAGAGGGTTGAGACATAATTGCTAATTTGTTTTTAAGGGGGGTCAAAAGCGAGGGAATTATTGAAGCTAGAGTAAATATGACGTTTGCGAATTGGTTCCAAGGATAGATAGTATTAGAGTAGCTCAGACTTTATGAATTTCATAAGTAATCCTTGTAAAAAATGAATTTTAAGTGAAAAAGATTCACTTTTAATGTTGAGTTAGCAATGCTATAGCAAAGCGATTCAACACACTGGATGTAAGAACGATTTATTTAGTTTCTTGAACTAAAGAATTATATTTCATTCAAACCACCTGTTCTATCAAGGATCAAGCCCTTGCTTAATGGTTATCAATTTGTAACATATGATACAACAACTACCAAGAATGTGAAATGTAAGGTGCCGCAAAACAAACTCTATTTTAAGTCTGTCTCATATACAAATACTACGCAGAATAAAGGTACAGTATTTCAGAGGTGGTAAAATTCATTGGCCATTGTTATGGAGGTTGAGTGCTTTATAGCACTCAACCTCCAAATCGGTCAAATACATCATGATTTAACCTGATGTGAATAAACTATAGTGATACCTGTAAGGAGATATGTTACACAACAGAACAATTAAGAAGAAATTTAGTATTCAATCAAATTAAACAAAAGGTAGATTTTATGCGATAACTCGATAAAGCATATGAGAAAGTAACTACCATAAGAGGAAATAAAAATCACTGATTGTAAGTGTACTGTTGGTTATTTTTGACAAGTGATCAAAGTTTAAAATTATTTTTGTCCATAGAAAAAAGTAGGTATTCAAGAAAATGTCAAAATAGTAAGAAGCTTTTAAAGTTAACTTCAAGAATGATATTTTCAGCTTCTATGATCCAGTAAGATTAAGCAAATAAATTGAATTATTGTTCAGGCTCAATTAAGGTGAACCTTTATAAATCATCTTTTCTTCTTTTAATTGAGAACGTAGATACTCATTTCTACTGATCTTATTTCAAATTATTTAGATAAAAATAAATAGCACTTTATTTAAGTACGATATTCGTTGATTATATCGTTGGTAGATTAAATTATATATCTTTCAGATTAGTACGATATAATGTTTCTTAGTATTTGTTTAGGGAAGTTAGTTATGAAAACTTTACAAATTGACTTGGTTTTGATATATTTAACGATCTCTATATGTTTGTTCATAATTGTTTATTCATTAGTTTGAGATAAATCTTTTCTGAATTGTAAAATTGACTTTGTAGATCACCAACGTAGATGATCTATGTCAAAATGATTGGAGTTAAACGTGAATGGTGTGACAAACTATCTAACGTCAAAGTCACACCTCGTGGTCAGCACTTTACATGGACTACCCCATTGACGTATCAAGGTACCATAGATGCTTTGAAGACTGTACAACACAGAGGACGTTATTACAGAAATATATTAGTTAAAGTAGATACAAGAGAAAGTAAGACCACTGCCGCATGGGCCAGTCTATGGCATACGATCAACTTATGCAATTTGGCTGTCCCTAACCTTAATGAGGATCAATGATTTGCTCGGTATTCAATGACCCAACTGCCGGATGATTTGGCTAGGTCTTAGTAACATTTCGCTGGCCCTACAACTTGATTATAATTTGTGTATCTAATCTTTAAGTAGATAAATCATAAATCACAATAATTATTTGTTATAACATGTACTTTTTTTATAGCCAGATACATTGAATGGTGTGCTCCTGAAACAAGTCAGTTTGAATTTACTGATAAATCTGATGTATGGACTTTGGGTTGTATAATCACTATTCTAATATATATTAAACATTTATTCAAAAATAAAGAGATTTTAGCAGTTGATCAACTCAAAGCAAGAGAAAATATATTTCACCATTTATCGTCTACAGAAGAATTAGTAAGTGTTTTCTAAATGAAAAAAAAAACTAATAAATGTGTTTTTAAAACTTTATTTGTATGGGTATAAACTGTATACGAGTTTAAGATTAACGTTCATTAATTTTTATTATTCATATCAGAAACAAACTAAAATCTCTCCTTCTTCTATCAAGCAAAATGTATCGTTGTAATCATTTTGTTGAGTTATATCTGAAAAAAAACTTAGAAGAACTATTCATAGTGGGAATGAAATGCTATTGAATAGTGGTAGATGTTTTCAAAAGATGGATAAAGGAATTTCTGAAGAAATGTTTAATTCCACTTTATATAACTTCATTCTTATCTATTTGTTTCCAAGTATTATTTTTGGGGAAGATGATCGTAGAATACATATTTCTCAGGACATATACCACGATAATTTGCAAGGATTTGTATCAAGGATTGAAAATAATCAGTCGTTTTTGGTATTTGTGCATCCTGAGAGGGTTGCTTCGACATTGACTCTAGGTCACATGCTTGTTTTAATAAAGTCGGGTACTGGCTATCAATGGAATTAAGGAAGTGTTTTTTATTCCGTTTGGGATCTTTCAATGAAAGATGCATTGATGTTTGGGGCAAAAAAGAAATGGGTTAGAGTTGTGGACACTGGGATGGAGATATATCCAGTTAACCAGCCTCGAATGAGATGAAACGTAGGTTCTGGTTTTCACTGTTAGCTACTATCCGAATTGACTAAGAAATATACTACAGTAAGTTCCTCAATATTCAAACTCTAGAAATTACAAAAGGCTAGTCAGCTAAAATGCATATTTTAAGATGTATACTCCATACACTTATCTCTTTATGCTTAAAATCCTTCATTTGGTGGATTTACAAGATTATTATAACATACAATGCTTATGAGTTTTGCTTTAAGATGAATAAAAAAATAGCTACAATTTAATTGAAACAAAAATTTCCGTGTAATGGAATAATGACTAAGTATATAGGTGAGATTCGACTAATTGAGTGTTACAGAATGATTAAATGGGTCATTGAAAAGTGAATTTAAAATGGTTATTGACAATGTACATGATGACGTAAAAAGAGAAAATAACTTTACAGAAATGAACAATCTGAGCAACCGTTTATTTAGATACATAGAATGCTCGTACAATGTGAGAGACCGGGAGAGTCTTCCAAATTGCTGCAAATTACTGCAAATGAACAAATAAATAAGAACTGAAATTTTAATTGGATAATGAAATATTTTTGTTGGGGATATTAAATCCGAAAATACAGTATAGTAGGAGGAAATCAACTATACGATCACGTCCTGATTTAAAGTAATTTTTATTTCAACTGACTCTCAATTAGTTTTCATATGCCTTAATTAAATCATCGCGATCATTTATTCATGTGAGATTTATTCTCTTTGGCAAACGTTTTAAATAATGATCGCTGAATATGATCAATTTATGGTGGAATGATTTTTTTTGCTATGAATTAATATTCTTTGGTCTCCATTAAATAAATCTTCCTTACAAAATTTGTCTTTTTGAGAGTCAGGCGCTATAGAAGAAAAGCAAGCTATGCTATCCCGGTATAAAAGTGCAGTTAAGAGATATTATCGGTAGCATAATGATGTTACTTTTATAGAGAATAATGATATAATTTTATGCATTGATTATGTTATTGTTCATTTTTCCATATTAAGTCTATCATTTCATTTTCCCCATCAACACATAAATAAAAATAAGTTGGAAGTGATATAAATGTCATTTTTTTAAGATGAGCGATAGAATACAGTGACCTTGTATTAATTTATTAATTATTAAACATTGAAAGGAAGTGATAGAAAATTGTACATCTAACCTGTTGTTCAATAACCATTATAATGAATATCATGAATTCAGTGAAATTAACATTTATTGTAAACATGAATATAAGTAAACATAAATAAGTCATGGTGACGCTGTATGTGATAAGTAACCAAATAGAATATATAAAATCTCATCGATATTCTGTCATTTTGACTACTTACCTTCATTTTTGGGACTAATGAGTAATGCCGTTTATTTATTTTTTTTTTACAAAAAAGTCAATTTCATAAAAATAAACGATTTGTAATGACAATGAGTTTATGATTAATAGCCAATTCAACTGGTATGTTTGTTCATCATAATGCTAATGATGATGATGATAATAATAATGACAATATGTACGACGTCTATTTATTAAATATCTTTATTATTTTACAAAGTAATAATAATGATAATGGTTTCCTGTTTATTGACGAGTTTATGGTTAAACAAACATACTAATTAAGTCAAGTGATATAAAGGGAATAATCTAAATGACTACTAATAGTTGAATGTGTATCCATACATTTTCATTTGTCGATAAAGGGATATGAATTGAGTTAAATGAAAGTGAACTATTACAAAATAATGATCAATTATCAGACATTATGTTGTTCTACTAATTTTATATTAACATTTACTGGATTATTATTATTGAAGTAAAGAAAAAGACAACCATTACCATAGATTACCCATTAACATAAATTAGTTAAACCAAATATCTTTTACAAAAAACATACAAATTATTTATAATGTAAAATGCAAACATCCTGTATTCTAATGAACAAAAACAATCATTTAACTATTTGGCATTTATAACAAGTTAATTTATATGAATAATAGTTAATTCAATAAAGGTATAACAACAATAACAACTAATTCTAATAATCAAAGCAAACTATTTGTTTCTTCCTTAGCTATATCTGAAATAATATATAACTATTATTCTAGGATGAACATTCTTCAACAGTATTCTTTTACGAGTAAATAAAACTAAGTTTATGTATTATCTAAGTACTTTTTCAGTGTATATTTTTTCTTAGTTATTCACCTACTTTAATGATCATTCATATAATGATACCGTGATATGTAATAATAAATTATCGTTGAATATAAAAGAATATAATGATACATGCATCGTAAAAATGAATGAGAAATCTTTGAAATTATTATAATGAGTTTTAAATGCATTGTTGTATTATCTAAATTTAATAGATAATGTCATAGCTCAGATGGTATAAGTGAATATCTGAGATTTTATTCAACCAGTTGTTTTGAGTATATAATCAAATGAGAGTAAAAAACACTTGTTTCATTCAAATGGTATGGTATGTAAAGACAAGGTTCAGTGGATAAAGCAGTAGACTTATAACTGTTTGGTAATGTATTGAAGTTTTGTATTCTTGTTTAGGTAGGTAGTCGAATATTTTCATTAGTTTTCATATAAAATGTTCTAGTCTATCTTAGATAGATGAACATATACATAGTGCATAAATAAATATACTTTTATTTGTATACAAAACTTAGTTTTAGTAATATAATTTAATCGTTTTCACCTAAAAAGAGAAATCGACTGATATTTATGATATAATTTTTCAGGTCTATTATATTTGGACTTTGAAATTGTTATCTACACTGACTTCAATCTGAATGTTAACTAAAATTCCAACCACTAATATATAACAAAACCATTATCTTCACGTTTGTTCTCATTTGCTTTTATCATAGTGTTATACATTTTAAAAATCAGTCAATCTTTCATTAGATACAATCCTTACGTAATATTATCTATGGGTTACTTTTTTTGCTGTTAAAGAGATTTAAGAGTTATCGATCTTAACAGTTATTCAACTGATGGTAGTCTAAACTTAGAACTTTTCTAAACAGAAGTAGTAAACTATTTGTTCCTTTGGTATCTGTGTAAAAATTCCTTTAAAATTATAACAAATTTTCATATAACTACATTTATAAATGTTTATAAACATTAATTAAAAGGAATTCATACCTGTTTGTTTATTCGACTAAAGGAAACACACAAAGAATTGTTTAAGTTACTTTCTCAAATGATGAAAAACAATCCATCTGAGCGTATAAGCTTAAAGTAAGTCATTCGTTTTTTCTTTCTGTATAGAAATAAAATGATATATCACTAGTATTTCTAAGATTACATAATTATTAAAACTGATTATTGTTTTTAATTGTTTCAAATTGTTTCTTCTAGTTTATTAGTAAGTTGAATATTGAACAGGATACAAGGAAAAATTTTTCATTTTATTTCTTGTTTTTACATTGAAGTATAAAGATTATTACAAGTTAAGTGTTTAAAAATTTTATTTGGCAAAGAATTAAAATAAAGAAGCCCCCAAATGCCCTGGTTCGGCAGAGAGTGGGGAGAGTCTGCTCTCCCTCTCCAAATGCTCTCACACGTGAATATATCCTCTGCCAGGGAATTCCTACTCACCTCATTCTCGTGGCATGGGTGTTGCTTACGAAAGTGAGAGGACAAAAAGCGAATGTCAGGCGCTTTAAACGGGTTAGTGGACATGCAGAGTCCACCTAGGGGAGTTGGAAAACCCTGATTCCAAACCAACGGTGCAGAAGGGCTCCAGTACCCCGAGGGAACAAATGGCTTATGAACCGATCGTTGGCCGCCGGCTACCATGGGACTGCATTTCCTTACGATGCTACACTGTCTTGTGGATCAGACCTTCATATCGAAGGCTCCGGGTGTGGCCCTCTGAGAAAACCACCTGCTTCGGTTTGGGCACCCGAGCAGTATCACAGGCCTCACATAAATCATTCGATTTATGTGACGTATATGTATTTGGTGCCTCTTTGTACCAATATCTATGTGTTAAAATAAATAAATAAAAGAAAGGACAAATGCGACAGAAAACAATCGAGTTTTAAAGAAACTTATCCAAGGAACTACAAATTATTTTAAGCAAAGATGGATAGTGGCTAGCAGTGAATTCTAGGACACGCGTTTCTATTTATTTGGGACGCGTCAGCTAGATGTACCTGCATCTCAGAGTTGATGTTCACTCCGGGACTCGAACCCTAAACAACAATGAGAAGATACAAGTAAAACAACATCAAGTGAATGTTTACAAATTTTGTTTGAAATAATTAAGTTTACATAATTAAAAATATTTTTTTCATCATCATCATCATCATCATCATCATCATCATCATCATCATCATCATCATCATCATCATCATCATCATCATCATCATCATCATCATCATCATCATCATCATCATCATCATCATCATCATCATCATCATCATCATCATCATCATCATCATCATCATCATCATCATCATCATCATCATCATCATCATCATCATCATCATCATCATCATCATCATCATCATCATCATCATCATCATCATCATCATCATCATCATCATCATCATCATCATCATCATCATCATCATCATCATCATCATCATCATCATCATCATCATCATCATCATCATCATCATCATCATCATCATCATCATCATCATCATCATCATCATCATCATCATCATCATCATCATCATCATCATCATCATCATCATCATCATCATCATCATCATCATCATCATCATCATCATCATCATCATCATCATCATCATCATCATCATCATCATCATCATCATCATCATCATCATCATCATCATCATCATCATCATCATCATCATCATCATCATCATCATCATCATCATCATCATCATCATCATCATCATCATCATCATCATCATCATCATCATCATCATCATCATCATCATCATCATCATCATCATCATCATCATCATCATCATCATCATCATCATCATCATCATCATCATCATCATCATCATCATCATCATCATCATCATCATCATCATCATCATCATCATCATCATCATCATCATCATCATCATCATCATCATCATCATCATCATCATCATATCATCAGCTGGATTATCATTTTAATTTTTTTGATTTATGAATTAAATAAAAGTTATTAAAATCATTTTATTGTGCTATTATTATAATTATAATTATTATCGATCAGAGCTGTAAATGATTGTAACTTTAAAGAAAAACACACAATTATAACGATCATTTTGTTTTATGAAAATTTTTAAGGCCATTCTCAATTACTGTAGTTTGTATTTTATACTGTTAGATTGATTGAATAAATGTTGACGTAATGTAGAGAAGTATGAGAATACAATTTGAGCATTACATATATAATCTGAAGGACTTATGAAGATTAGTTTCAATTAAAATGACTCTTCTTTAAAGATTATAATCAATTGGGAAAATCATTGGATAATTAAGGAGCATTAAATGGATATATTGAAACGTTGTTTGTAATTTCATGTACCTAAATTAATGGTTGCTATGGTTGTCAGAAGGGGCATCAACCTCGTGACTACCGAAGGAACTCGGCTTCCTTAGTGAGACGTCATAACTCTTCCAAATGAAGACCTTCTAACTCCCAGGGCAGATTTTAAATGGTTTGAATTATTTTTTCTGGTTGGTGCTTTTCTAGCGAGTTATTTTTCTACGAAATGGGGTCACTAACCCCATGCACAACTCTCCTCCTTGTCCGGGCTTGAGACCGGAAGCAGCGTCGGAGGGGCTCCAGGCGGCCCGTGCTTCACTGAGAGTAACAGACGTAAGTAAGTAAGTAAGTTGTTTGTAACTCCTTAAGGCAGGCTGATACAAAAAGCTAATAGTTCTGTTTTTGATAATCAGATGATGAGGGATTCTACTTATACTGTAGGTAAAATGTTTATTATTTAATCTTATTGTGTCCAGATCTTGTATTTATATCGATGGATTTGATGAACAGGTTCCTCCGAAATGAGCTTAATTTACATGTCTTTCGGTTGTTTGTAAAGTATTTAGTATATATATATATATATATATATATATATATAATATTTAGTGAATCTTTTTTGATACACAAATATTTCATTGGTGGAAATGTTCAGCTAATTTTATTTTCCATCTTATAGTGATCTTTTAGACGATTTATATGTTCAAGTACTTTTGAAACATACAAATCCAGAATTTATTATGAGAGCTAAACGATGCATTGTAACAGTAGCTGACAGTAAGTTTAATAATCTCAATATTTATGTTGAGTTTCCTTTGATGTAATTACTTAATTTCAATTTTGCGAGAACCTTATGGAACTATCTTCGGCACTATAGTGTATTTTAAAAGATTGTCAACGTCATTCAAAATTCGTACAACGGACTTTACTGAAAAGTGGTGCATGAAGGACAGCTGACAGACGCCTTCTAATTGAGAACCGGAGTCAGACAACGTTGCTTAATCTTCCAGTTTCTCTTTCTTCTGGTGTTTGATTGGACAATGAAAACCCCCAGATCTGACGAGGAGCACGGAATTAAATGAACATCTTGCACGCAACTAGAGGATTTGGAGTTCGCAGATGGCCTGGCTCTTTAAACCCCTACACATCAACAAATGCAGATGAAGATATCCAGTGTAACAGCCGCCTCTGGTAATTATCACAAATATATTAGTTTTAGCAAGTATAGGGTAGTGGAAATAGTTGACTTTTATTGAAATCACAAGGTGATCTTATCTGTGGTTCTAGCGAGAAGCCGTGAGTGATGTGAGGTAGGTACAAACTAGAGATAATGGAAGCGGGGTTGCTCAATATCGTGGGATGACTGAAGTTAGACTAGTGCACTACTGGATTGCGTCTCAGTGGTGTTGTGGTTAAGCGTTAGTATGTGAGACTAGAGATCTTAGGTTTGATTTTTGGATGTGGGGCCATGTATAGATACTGATGGGGAATCTCAAACTAGGTTGAGGTAAATATCGTGTTTTCTGGTGATTGTTTATCTTAAATTGGCCCGCGATCTCAGTGAAGTTAGTTTTTCCAAATATCTGAGCATTATAGATAATCGCTTCAATGACTGAAGACTACATTCACATGTTTGTTAAGGGCAATTGACCAAAATGGGGAACGATGGCTTATTCAATAATTTGTTAAGCACATAACAGTGATAACTAGAAAAAGCTACAACATAGTGATTTTTTAATTTTTAATGAAATAAATAGAGCTAAAAATTGATCACATAGGATAACGCAAGTTGTTTATTTAATGTGGTGTATAAATATTTACAAAAGTTATCATCAGGATGGAGGGTCTTCATACTTGTGGGATAATAGTTTTAATTGTCACAATAAAATTATCCAGACTAGAAAACTTAATATTTACAGAAACGGAAATAGTCATTTCTTGAATTCAGTCTGAAGCGAAATAGATATATCGAGGTAGTTCACACTAGATGAACATTTACCAACGAAGACTGCTGAAACTTCGGTGCTGAAAATTAACGGGGGGAACATTCAAACCCTTACTAGTAATATTATAAATATCAAACATGTTTATGGTGTATGCTACATAAGTCGACAGACATAAGTAGTATGTGATCATCTGAACCTAGTAATTCAGTAGACAGTAGGTTGATATTTGTATTCAAATGTACTGGGAGTGAGTCCCGATGTGAACACTAACATTAGGATTGAATCACGTTTAACTGACGAGTCCCGAATGAGATGAAATAATGGGTCCTGGGTCCCACTGTGGTGTGCGCTACTTATATACACATAAGTAGTATATAACGATAGTCAGGAATAGAATGCATTTCAGCAGAAGAAGAAGAAGAAGAAGTCGAAGTACCAATTATTAATTATTCAGTCATTTTTTCATGAAAAGTATGAATGTAATAATTTTGGAAGGAAAATGTAAATGAATATATTACGATAGTCAGTTATTTATATTCCGTATATCGGAGAAAAATAGTATTTTAATAAATGCTAATAACTCATAATCATTAGAAGTGTGAAATTTAATAGTTAGAATTGTATGATACAGTTGAAAAATCTCTCTATTACACACAATAAATAGTTTTTAGTGACGTATATGTCTGTATATCTTTGTGATCTATTTAATGAATTTTTACCTTATGTTACATGCACTAAATAATACTGAATTGCTTGTTAGTGACTTGTTAGTCTGGAAAATAGATGTGATACAGAAATAGTATGTTACTAACTTAAAGTTTCACAACAGGAAAGAATTTTAGTTAGACAGTCATTAAAAGCCAAGGAGCATCAGATGGCTGTTTTTTTCTATTATCTGGTCGATCAAGGGTGTGGATTCATGACATCTCTAGAGATGAAACCAAGACCTTTAGATTTCACAATGATCATTCGACCTTTGAACGACAGATTTGGGATCTAAAAGTTTACATTTTTAATGCTAGTCAATTCACTGTATAACGTGATCGCCATTCATCGGCTTTGATAATACCTATTTTACGTCCTACAAGGTTAAATATTAATGGTCAGGACTTTTTCCTAAAACACCAGAGACCGAGTTAGTTACTAGTGAGTATATGATTACGACTAGTGTAGAATGTTTGTGGAGACAAAAGGGTAACTATGATTTGAACTACTTATTTCCTGGCAAATAAATAACCTAGTTCGTGAATGATATCTATCCATAGATATACTGATCGATATTCGACAATAGTGATATTTCTTGACCCTATGGCAGCATTCGACTTCGTTGATTGAGAGGTTTTATAACAGTGAATATCGTTGGAAGGAGCACGAAAGAATATATGAACCTTGTGAAGGCTCTTCACTTAAATCACAAGTTATGGTGAACTGTCGTCTGAACTGATAGCGTCAACTGATGTTCATTAGGGTTATCCATTTACACTATTCTTATTTAACTTGGTAAGATATTTTCTGTTACCAAAGTCGCTTTTGCCCTCTAAATTTTCATAGATTAATATTCTGCTGGGAGATTCCTTGTTGAATTAGAGTAGGCGGACAATACAGTTCCTCTTAATCAAGACACTGGTAAAATCCAGTCTGCCGGTTGCCTTGAGGAACAATGCTAAGGTGTTTGAGATCTGCTTGTCTCCGTTTAAGTGCTAAATGTTGCTTCAGAGTCAGTTTGGAAGAAGTTAACACATCATGAAATACCCTAAAATTCCAAAAAACATGCTTTGAGCACTTGTCCTTCGAAATCTGGAACCAAGCTACCAGGTCAACAAGATCATAACCAACCCAGTTTCTTCCCCATGTACCTCAAGAAAAGTCCCTTTTTGCCATGTCAGGAAATAGGGGTAACGACTTCTCACATACGTCTAATAGAGCTTTAGGTTATCTTGTTCACGACAAAACCTCCTCAAGCTTTCTTAAGATCTTTTCGATCCCTACTATCGCCCCTGTTCCAATGGCCTCACATATTTTACGCGTGCAACCGATGCTAAAGATTTGAGTTAAGGAAATGTTCTTTGTGATTTTCTGGCAACAGAGTTATGGACTTCATATTAAAGTTTTCAATGTTCGAACCCTAAGTAAAAACAAACAACAGGCTCCATTAGCTAGGAATCTGGAGTCTCTTGCTGTCTTCTGTCGTGCCTAAGTACAGTAGGGTATATAATCGCTCTCGAACCATAGGTTTTAGTCTCATCGTTCTTCAAACGATCTGTTTGAAGCTAAAGGAACAAGTGTTCCAGCTATTAGAGCTCGATAGAGTCACTGGATGGCAAGCTTGACCACTGTACCAAATCTGAAGCTACTGATTGATCTGTTGTTTTTCTACTAAAGTGTTTTTCTTTAACCTTCCTAACAACTTGTTAATTGGATGATATATTATTCAATAAGCATGTATAGTAGAGTATAGGCAATCTGATTCAGCATTAATTCAGCACTTTGTGGTTAGAAGTTTTTTATCCACACTTAAAAAATGCCTTTATACCCGCTAATGTGTACAAATAATATTGCTTTCTAACGCAAAATAAAAACTATCTGATACACTTACTCCATGGACTCTCACCAAGTCAGTGGTTTAATGCTCTTAAGGAGAATAAAACTGTTTGTATAGAGAAGTAAAAGTATTATCAAGTTCTGACTTAGATGACCATATTCTGGATAAATATCATGATTTGATTAATAATGTTCACCTAATGTATTGAAATTATTGTTCAGTGTAGCGATAAAAATGTTTATAGTTGAGATCATGAACCGACTGATGTTAGACCACCATTGAAAACCTGGAAGCACTGGACGGCCGTTTCGTACTATTGTGGGACTCCTCGGCAGTTCGGACCCACGACCCCACTCGCGGGATTCTAACCAGGACCTTCAGTCTCGCACGCGAACGCTTAGCCTACTGGACCACTGGACCCCTATACTGATAAAAATGTTTATAACTTAAATTTTATATATTGCTGTCACTTTGTGTATCACTGACAATTTTGTGCTTTTTAATTCTTTTTATAAATCTTACTGTAATCTCTGCTGGATATTTGTTAGTTTTATTTCTTTCAAAAGAACCGGAGGAAAAATATATCACAAGACTGAAGTTTATTAATAACTGTATATTAAAATGGATAGACTTAACATGATAGTATAACTTACTAAGTCTACCTATGAACAACTATTCTACTACAATAATTATTCAATCAACTAATGTGGAAATTTGAGGTCAGATAAATCATTTAACTTACCTCTACATACACAGCAAGTGAACTAGAATATCGTATTTATCACAAAACTCAAAATATTTTTGTAGTCGTTTGATTCATTACGGAGATGGTTATCATCGTTAACTATGATGACTAATGTGTTGAATCGTAAGTTGTTTAAAAATGAAAGTGTAGATTATTGAATTACGACTCAATAATAATGATGAGTTCGACCTTCTATGAATTTGCTGGAATGCACTGCTAGGTTGATACATCGACTCAATTTTCAATTCTGAACACTAAAAAATCAAGAGGAAATTAGCAAAATCAACTTAATATTCATATAACTGATAATGAAAAGCTGAACATATGGTTTACAGTTCTGAATTCCGAATAAAATAAGGAAGTTAAACGTATGGAATAATACAGAAATTGTAGATTTAGAGGAAATCAAAGAATGAATTCATTTGCTCCACTGTGATGTATTATTCTGAACTACGATATCTTTACTTCCTCAACACGATTTATTTCAATAGTTAGTGATTTTATGAACTGGTAGAAAATATTTTCCGATCACTCTTAGGTTTGTTTAAATAGTTTCCTACGGTAACTTCTATTACACATAAAGTTATTTGTATTTGCCGAAAACTTTAATATATCTGTGTTTTTGTTAAATCTTAATGACGCATACTAAAGGTAGATGAAATTGGTATTACATGTTGAGTTATGATCGAACTCACCTATCCTTGTAGTTATTATACTTATCTGAGAATTTTAAGCGCATATCACTTGATTATGGTACTTTTCAATGCCATAGACTAACTTGAGAATACTGATTTTGAGGAAGACTTTTTTGAATTTAATGACAAATAGTATCACTATATAGAATTAACAAGTGAATGTTAATATGAGGTTAACATGTTTTTTTAAAAAAATTAAAATAATTACTAAAAAGATATGTGAGCTGTAGTATACTGTTTGTATGAAACACAACAAAAATATGACTGACTCATTGGTTTAAAGCTTAAATGAAAGTTCTTTTTATTGTTTCATATCACGACAAGAAGTTACCGTATATTTTGAAGGTAATATTCATTGCAAGATAACTTTAGTTAGAGAACCATTAAAAGTATAAAGTACTAGAATATTATTTTATCATAGTTTGTTTCTCCTCAGTAGTGCACCGAAAATCAACTTATTAGGTCTGTTGAGAATCTGTAGTATATGGAATCAACCATGTCAAGAGTGAGAATTTGGTGGATCAAGTACATTGGTTTGGGAAATCCATATATCGTAATTTTATTGAAGTTAGAAATGTACATTATTGGACTCAGTAATCTGAAGTTATCGTAATGGTAATGAGACTTAAACTCTCAGGTTTCAATACCATGCAAACGATGTGACTGTATGTCAGTGAATCCTTTTTATGAGTTGTATCAAGTCAAAAAGTTTGGGTTGAGCCAAATGCATAGGTACAGACTATCTGATTGGTGCATGGGCGATGATAGTAACTAACAGTTGTGGACAATGAGTAACATACCTCAGAAGTGCTCACATCGTTCTTTTCGAATGATATCATCAGTTTATTATTAATATGACGTAAGTAGTAACGTATAACTTGAGTGTTATGAAATTTTTATTTTCACCTTTATTAAAAAATTTCTTTGATTTTAAAGAACCGTTCCCAGTGAATGATACTATGGAAGCAAAAATCAAATATCTTCATGTCAATTGGCAACATGAGAATTGTATTGAGAAAGCTGTTGTTTGGTTTGCAGAAAATATTCTGAATGATAATCATATTAACTTAACACACAGATTATCATCTCATTTATTTCAGCTAATGTATTTACATCAAGCTAATTTGTCAATTATTACATCATCTTTAAAGATAATAATTCATTCTGTTGAAAATGAACAGTTAGAATCTATGTTAACATGTTCAAAACATCCTTGTGAAGATGTTAGTAACCGATCTTTTTCTTCTTCTTCGTCTTCATCATCATCATCATCATCTTTATATAAACTATTAAAAGAAAGTAACCACTTTAAAAAGATTTGTAAAATAAACAATTTATATCTTGTATTAATCATAATGCAAAACTATTTACAACATGTCAATGTACAGAGATTAGGCTTAAAATTTTTCAATTCACTTATCCATAGAAATTATTCTACATTTATTAATTTAAATATAATAAATGATTATTTACAAATAAATAATAAAATATTTAAAAAGCTTCATACAATTAATTTATGTCATCATTTGATTGAATTATTAAATTATACAACTAATAAAGATATAATTAAAATAGGTATTAGTTATTTATGGAAATTTTGTATCTATGGTAAGTTAATTCTTTTTTTCAAATATAAAAATTAATTATCAGTTTAGGGGTTGTGGAGATTGTTAAGTTTTTGATTGAGATCATGAACCGATTGATATGAGACCGCTATTGAAAACCTGGAAACACTGGACGGCCGTTTCGTCCTATAATTCGAACCCAGGTCTTCAGTCTCGTTCGTGAACACTTAACCTACTGGATCACTGAGCCGGCATCCATTAGTGTTAATGTCGACGGCCGTCCAGCGCTTTCAGGTTTTCAGTGTTGGTCTAACATTAATCGGTTCATGATCTCAATCAAAAAATAGTCGAAACAGCTGTTCCATGCTTCCAGGTTTTCAATGGTGATCTAACATCAATCGGTTCATGATCCCAATCAAAAAATTCAACAATCTACATAATCCCTAAACTGATAATTACCATGTGCTCACTAGTGACTAGCTTCGTGAGAAAATTTTAGGAGTTCTAGTGGGATGCCGTGGCCAGTGGAGCTAATCCGTGTCGGGTAGAGACAGGTATCTATCTCAGTACAATGGAGGATGGTCGCGCAACCTCGTGGATTGGTTAAAGTTAGACATTAACACTATTGAATGCAGGGTCAATGTTCTAGAGGTTTAGTGTTCACACGCGAGATCGAAGGTCCTGGGTTCGAATTGTTTTGGAGCGGGATCGTGGATGCGCACTGCTAAGGAGCACTGTGATAGTCGAAACAGCCGTTCCATGCCTCCAAGTTTTCAATGATGATCTAACATCAATCGGTTCATGATCTCAATCAAAAAATATAAATTAATTGTTTGTTTTAATAAGTTTTTTAATAATTGAATTTATGAGTTAATTGAAACTAGATCACCATGGGAAACCTGGAATTACTGGACGGCTGTTTCATCCTAGTGTGGGACTCCTCAGCAGTGCGCATCCGTGATCTTACCCTGCGAGATTTGAACCTAGGACCTATCAGTCTAGTGCGCAGACGGTTAACCTTTTTTTATTTGTATGCGGAAAAATATGTTACCAAGTAAAATATATTTAAGGATAATTTATTTATTCTTCATAGTGCAACAGTGACTGCGTGACTAAACAACTGACTGCGTCTTACATATTTAAATTTGAGCTGCTAAAAATTGTTGTTAGTCTTCACTAAAAAAACAAGTTTTATTTGAATACTGGATCCATGAGTTATGTTTCGCGACTGGATGATGATCTGGCTGATTGTGGCTTTGATTTTTCAAACATTCAAATATTTTGAAACATTTTGGTACTGAATTACTTCCTATCCAGCTTGTGTGAACGAACTATCGAGTAGTGTATAGAAATTAATAATGTCAGTCGACCTATATGTGTATATCCTTTTTATTTGTATTCTTTAATGAATATATTTCTTTCCAAATATTATAAAATATTATAAAAATGTTATTATCATGTGAGTTAGCTGGATTTATATGGGTTATTCAATTTAAAAATGGTTTCCATCACAGACAATTGAAGATATTTAAATCTGAACTTATCTGTTTAACATAGGGAATCAATAACCTATGCTTTATCTAACATATCTATGGGATTCAAACATACTAAATGATGACACTATTTTATAGTTTAATTCATGTATAAATAGTCAAAATATCCAGTTATGATAGAGTTCACAAGTATTATATAGGTTATTGAACAAGGTATTGAGTGAGATTACACATTCTTCACGTTTTACGTATACATAACATTTGATTATCCATTAGCATATTACAGTTCTTTCTGAAATCCTAATGTCTTCTCGTCTGATCATCAAGTGTTGTGCATATGTCGTGCTTTTGACATACTGAAAATCTTTTCTCCGTCTGATGACTGTTAAAGCTCTGAGGTAATGTTCCGCTACTTACTACTTATAATCAATCTTCTGAGTGGCGTTTGCCATAAAACGATAAGTTTCAATTATTGTTTGCTTGACAATAAACTAACATGTTAGACGTAACTGTGAGTAGTCTATTACTCGATGATTTAAAAAATAACTTGACTTTTATTTACATAAAAATCGAGTAAAATACTCTATGAACCGATTGATATTAAGGATTTATTTTGCATCCGTCACGCCAAATCTTATTTAATATCAAAATATCAAAATGGTAGCCTAACTAGTTACATTTATTTATTTATTTGTTTTTACTTTTATTTTCTTCTTATTTAAGAACCGATTGCTCTACAAGCAGCCGATAAAGGCGCATTATCTATCACTGTGCAACTAATGGAGTCTAATCATTTTGACAGTGAAATTTTTGCTAATGGTTCTATGATTATTGTATCTTTATTACGTATTGGTAAGTTTAGTAATTTGCATTTATTAATGTTTTGAGTTGATGTTAAATTAGTATCATTTGTAGTTTCATTAAATGATCGACAACTATACATGAGAATATTGTTGTTACCGCTGAAAGCTGATATTTGTCAAAAGAAACCATGATTCACATGATTCAGAGACAAATAAAAATACTTGGATGTTCAAAAAGTTTTAGTCTTTCATTGAAATGGTTTTGTCTTTTGAACAAATAGACATTTTCTGGATTTCAGTTCCACAATACTGAACTATAAAGATATGATTTGTTCAATTTACCAAGTTCTATCAGAGGTCAAATAATCACATATTGAATGAGTAGTTTGTAATATACCACTTGGCTACTCGTCGTTTCATATTTAAATGAAAGCATCATATCCTTTGTACTGGATAGAATATCAGATTTTGGGGTAAATAAAAAAAATTTCAGCTTTTTTTATCCAAGAAAAGCTAATCATCTTCATAGTTTGTCTGACAATATTAAAAGTTTAATTTTCATATGATTTCATCATGGAATAATGACATTTTGAAACAAGTCCTCGTTTAATAATATAGAAAGTTCCTGAATCGCACATACTTTATAACTCTGCAAACTATTATGAAATATAACAATTGAGATAGATAAGTGTCATCACTATTAAATCTGAATCTGAAATGGAAATATAAATCTTTAAATGTTGTTTACGTCTGGAATGAAAATGCCAAATACATACATAAATGATTGTTTTGATATGGAAATAGAATGAATATATTGATGGCATGAAGTGAAACGTCATCAATGTCAATAATTTTTGTTTTAATCGAACTCAGTGATACGTCTAATTCTTATTCTAGTAGAAAACTATGAACGTTAAGTAACATTATTTTGATAAAATCTGTCATTTTGGTAGTTTTAAAGTAATTTTCGTCATTAACTGACTTTAATTGGAGATTTTCGGAGAAAATCCAAATAGGAGTGAACATTTATTTTGTATCAGTTTCAGAATTCATAGCAAAGCAATTCCTCAACTGCACATAAATTCGGACTCGGGATCTTAAAAGTCTCTCTCAGCAAATATATCATTGAACCAAGTCGTAAAAATTTATTGATCTGTATAGAATTATAGGTGAATGCGTTGAACCCCTAACTTATGTAATCTCACAAGTCATCGTCCTTCTATACTGAATAATTTTGTATGAAATAAGTAACTTGAAAGTCTTGAATTCATGTTTGGGATGGTACAATTCTCAGTGTTCATTTCTTAAAAAATTATCGTTGTCATAACATTTTCACTTCTAAAACATCAAACTCTAATGAAAGCAGATTAAATATAAAATCCAAAAAACATAATTTTCATACAATGTTTGATAATAAAGTTAAAACATTCTAACTGTTTAAAGTTAGACATTAACACCATTAGATGCTGGTTCAGTGGTCTAGAGATTAAGCATTCTATTACAAGACTGATAGGTCCTGGGTTCGATTCGCACGATGCAGGATCGTGGATGCGCACTGTTGAGGAGTCCCATACTAGGACAAAACGGTCGTCTAGTGCTCTCCGGTTTTTCATGGTGGTCTAGCTTCAACTGACTCATAATAAACAGTAATTCTTCTATTTGATACTTAAGTGAAAAAAAATGTGTTTAATATCCCAATTGAAACTATATTTCTATCGTTTTAAAGTATGAATAATTATTTTCTTTATTACATATCAAGATAAAATTAAAAGGCAAATTACAGAATACAATAAGTTAATGTATATTCTACTGCATGGTTTAATTCAATTTAAAAATTTACCAATAACTATTTGGAATATATGTCTATGCTTACAAATTGTGATATCTTTGTCTGGTAAGTCTTTATAACGTCTTCTATATATATATATATATATATATATATATGTATATATGCGTGTTTCTTTGTATATGAAATTATTATTAATGGTTATAATTATGTGTTGTAAATAATTTCTCTTTACTTATATGAGATATCTCAAAATATGTACGTTTAAATGAAGTGTTAAATAAGGGCTTAATCGTGAATTGTCTTTAGAAAGATCATTGAAAACACAAATTGATCTAAGCTAGACAACATCGTCTAAAGTTATACATATTTCGGCAAAAAATAGAAAAAAAATTAAACGATAAAAGAATCAATCATCATTGGTATTCATTTATTTATTTATTTTTGTTTTAATGTTAATGATTATCTTATAGTTGATATGAATTATATTTTATTAAGCTGATGTGTATTTTCATTTGACAAAAAATTTACTTTTTCATTGAGTTGTTATTGTTAAGTAAACTCTGAGCCACTTATATTCATACTTCAATATTATACGAACTTGTAGGACGAAATTTACATTCTTGAGTTCATTTATAGTCAAAATCAAAATACATTTATTCAGATGGTATTGATGTATTTATTCAAACAGTTTACATGTCAACCAAAGTTGGTTTATTTAATTTTTGAATACATCAATTTTGAGGTATAAATTTTTGAAATTAACAATACCTGGATCAGATTATTGTCCATTGTCCGTTCCTCATCTGAATGATTTATGATTTTTAAAATTATCACTTCGTAGAATATACTACTGATTTGAGCTCAAAAATGTACATTTCTAGTGTTTTCTGAAATAGGCGCGTAGCGACAACAGAATGTGATATCGTTAAGAAATATTGATGACAAATAAACTATTTGAGATTACTTCGCTAAACATAGTCTACACATTTCATCACATTAAGCATTCAAGGAAGTTTTTACAATGATTTGAAAGATTCAAGGAGTCTGAGCAATAGTTTATTCTGCGAGTTAACCCATCTTTTTCCAAAATTTCGGCAGCTAATATAAAAACAATCTGAATGAACATATATAACGTTGGTAGGAGATATGTTTTGGAATCTGAAAGTTTTTACGAGGAAATTATTTGCTTTTCCGCTATAATTTACATTGATGGAACAAGCCTTTTAATGTATGAATTTCATTTACTAATATTCATAGTCATTATTACACATTACGAAGAGAGATGGTTGATAATGGCACATTAGTGAATGCCTTTCTACAACTACATTCATCACATTCATAAAGTGACTTTCTTAACTGAGGTGATTGCGTAAGTTTTAATTTGAATAATATCAAGTACGTAACAATATATGAACTAAAAAATTGTCAGGATGCTGTTTACACCGCTCACGTAACGGTTTCTTTTCATTAAAAATTAAACGTCGGATTACATTTTTACTGTAATTTAATTAAGCTGCATATTGCATAATTTTAAAGAATAAGTGAAATTTCAGCCAGTTAGTCAACTGTTTCAAATTGAGTCAATTAAGCCTAAAGACACTTTAGCAACCCTTTCTTCTAATAAGCATTATTATGACTTATATATTAACTCTTTTTGTAATGTTTGTTTGAACCTTCTGATTGATGTTTAGGACTGAGATTGATCAGTCTCTTGTTGGCATATGTGCATCCTGTACGGGTTTCCTCAATATTGGCTTAAGTCACAAGCATTCTAAACAAAGACGGATGGTGGCTAGCAGTGGAACCGAAGACGCTTGTTTCGTCCTATTTGAGACTCTTCAGCTGGACGAACCTGTGTTCAAGAGTTAATGTCCGTTCCGGGACACGAATCTAGTATAGTTCTCTTCAAACGAACTCATCAGCTAAGTGGATAACGCGATGGTGTTTGAAGCAAGTGGCACTTGGCTCGAGTACATGAGTGAACATAAACTTTGAAATGTAGGTACATCCAGCTGACCAACCCAAAATGGGACAAAACACGCATTCTAGATTCCACTGCTAACCATTATCCATTTTCGACTCATATATATTTTAAACATTTGGTATATCAATGCATAGAAATAAAATTGTTACAAATGTGATTTCAAACCAATGAAGTCAGTTCAAGTTTTATAAACAGTTGACCGTTTTTAAACGTTCATACCCTGTCACATGTCACTATGTGTGTTTTGTGTTTATCTGTGTGTATATTGATTAGGCTAGTCAAATTTGTGTCTTTTTTTCAAATAATAAAAATATGCAAAAATTCATTTCAGTCATTGTCATTTTAAAGCAAAACTTTAAACTATATTTTCTCATTGGATGTAACACATGAAACAAGTTTTCTTTTTTTCATGAAACCAATCAATTTTCTGTTATAATCTAAAGTTTTTTTAGGCAAGATTCTTTTTTCCTTTTTTGTTGTTATTTTGATAAATTTAAAGTTGACTTTCAATATTCACTTGGTGTTGTTTTACTTGAATCTTCCCATTGAGTTTCAGACTGCAATTGATCGGTCTGTTATTCGCATATGTGCATACTGTACGGGATCGCCTCGATATTGGCCTGATTCCCAAGCTTTATAAGCAAAGATGGATAGTCCAAATAGGATGAAACGCGTGTTCTAGATTCTACTGGTAGCCACTATCCATCTTTGTTTACTTTCAATAGTTTAATTCAGTTTTTACTATAAAAACAATGGAAATTAGTTTGTTGTTTTTTTTAAAAATTATTACCAGGTAAACTGATGAAAATATTTCTGATAACAATAAAAGGAAATAATTCTTGTCAATTTTATGCTTAAACAAAACTTAAGCAATAAAATAATTATAATAGTCTATATCTCTATGATAGATCTTCTCATTGTTATGTAATTCGATTTATTTATTCACTATGTTGTTTGTTATCATTGTTATTTTTCTAATTTGTTTATCATTTTGACATTGTAATGATGTTAGTGAAAATGTGAAAAATAAGCCAATGTTAAAATGATCATACTTAATCAAGTTATGTATTGATAAAAGAATCATTATATTTTGAAAATATGCGGAGAACCTGTCGTTATCACTTATTCACTAAATTGAATAATGATCTCATATTCTATTATTATTTCAATAATTTGAGACTGAAATAAATGGATATACTAATAATAGTCATATGTTTATTAGTGACAAGCTTCAAGACACAACTCCTGAAGTTTTAGTAGGAATCTGTTCGGGACGTTAGATCCCCAGAACTCACTTGGGAAAGGACCTTATTTTGTAATTTTATTTAGAAAATTTGAATTTCTTTGTTTTCGCGCCAAAGGCGCTCATGTCACCTTCATGTCGTATTTCCCATTGGGAAATATCTTAAATGATATTGGTCCGTTGTGTCTTTTAGTATGCTATTTGGTAACTCTCCCCAAGGACGGATTTGTACTGTATATATACGTTTTGAATTGTGTTTGTTGTTATCGCTCGTTTCTGGCTGTTTGCAGAATATACTTCCCCATTACAAGCTTGGACATTTCCATCTAGTTAGCGGGCCTGGGACGCATCAATAGCTAGCTTACTGGTCTTTGGTCACCGAGTCTTGTTATCGTTCGCCGATTAAGTGAACTCGTGATAGCTTCAACCCTAGCAGAATCCGTGACTAGTGGAGTACAATCATGACGAGTATGTGACAGCTATACACCAAAGGGAATGGATAAGGGTTACGCAATATCGTGAATCTATTAAAGTTGGACAATAATAGCTTTAGATGCCCGCTCTGTGGTTTAAAGGTTAAGTATGATAGCTCAAGACCAAATGTCCTGGGTTCAGTTTTTGTATACACGGTAGAGGTTTTAAAATTCTGAGTCTTCTATTAGGGCGAAATAGTTGTTCAACACTTCTCAGTATTCAATTATTGTTTAACTAAAAGTATTCAGTGATGTAAACCATCAAAATTCAACAATCTCGATAAAATCTGTATACTAACCAAATTTTCAGTTCTTAATTGCAGTAATTATCACTGCTACTATACTATTTCGATTGCTTTGCCACTCATATATTTCATTTCATTTCGTTGTATCAATATGCTATGGAAATGTAGGTAGACGTACATTTATCCCAGGCTCTAAGGTGATCATGACTGACTGACTAGAACACTCATAAAATATATTTTAACAAAATACATTCACATATTGATTAATGATTGTTTTTTTCAGACGCAAAGTTTTCACGTTAGTTCTATGTCGAATGGTATTTTTACAGCATAATTTGTATACCTCACACAGTACTGTGAGGTACTTTTATTCCACCAAGTGTGCGCATCTAATTACACTTCGTTCTTCTGGAATTTAGACAGGGAGAAAAATATACTAATACTTGAGGAAATTTTTCATGATGATAAGTTGTGAACTGTTTTTTTTCTATCAGGGTAAATGTATGTTTAGATTGTGTAATTGTAATAACTAATTACTTAAATGTCAAACTGGTATTTTGTTTTTCTTGGTTTTACTCATTAAATCAATCAATCAATCATTGGCAGCAAGTTCCTTTGTTCATCAATAACCATTATATTTTATGTACCATAAATGAAAGTTGATCATTTTCAGTTAAAATTCAAACAAATATACCTTTAAGTATTTTGAAGTTTCTTGTTATTGGCGGATTGATTTGTAAACTTAGTAACAATATACCGCTTGATCTTGAATTCTAGCATTTGTCATACATACCTTTTCATTCATTCATCTTAAACTATCATCGCAATATTCAGTTTTTCTTATTATTATTGTCACTACATTATTTTCAATCGGTTTTGTTACTCAACTTGTTATTTTAATCTCATGTTAACCATAATTTGGTGTCAGAACTTGAGCTTATGTACATCTGTGCTAGGCTCTAGGTTGATGAGGGCTGACTGACTGGTTTATTGTAAGAATGACTATTAAACAAACAAACAAAAAATGCACCCAGTCACATGTTGTTACTTATTTAAAACTTACTTTCATATTATTTTATGGTGTTAACTGTTTTGTCAGTACGTGGCATGATTTAGGTGTAATTTTTCAGTTTCTATCAGTTTTTATTTTGTTATGAATTTTAGAATATTTTGCTTTACAATTTACTGATGAAATGGAAGAAGATGAACCAAAGGACGAGAAGAAAAATGGATTTGATATATTATATTTAATTTATAACATACATCCTGATAATACAACGATTACTGAAGCACTACTTAAACCAATCACATCACTAATGAAATATGGTAAGAATGGTTTTCAACTTCTTATAGAGTTTCATTTAGCAAAAAGATTATCATTTTCAGTAGTTAGTAGAATGTCATTAAATTTTTGCTCTGTTAACTTATTTGAGATATTTTACATTTAAGGTGGAAGAATTTAAAGACAGAATATAGGTCTTTGATTATAGTTTGTTTTTATTATGAACCATTATCATCTGAAAATGATTGAAAACTATGGAATATGGAGTAGTGATCTCAAAGACAATCTGTAATTCGTTTTGAAAGTGGAACGCTCCAAATATACAATGTGCTTAAAACACAATATTTTCACTGGACAGAACTATTTCTTTCATGTGCTTCTTGTTGAAAATCTTCTTTAAGTAGGAGATCAATCCTTAACTATTAGCTTGGATTATATTTGATGTTATAAACCTCTCTATTGAAACACTACTTAAAATGGCCTAAATTTGACACCAGTTCCAAAGATGATCTTTATGTGATTTATATCTTGGAATATTTGATTTCTATTTTCCATCTTATCTACTTTAATGGTATACTATTTTTATTGAATTTCACTAAGCTATTGTAAAGTGTGATAAGTTTAACTGATTCAGTTTTGTGTTATACATTATGTTAATTTACCCAACTGATATATTACTAAATATACATTCATATAGAATATTTTGTAACTGAGACATAAAGTACAAATTATTACTATGAACTGTTAACATTTGTGCAACCTTGTAAACAATTTTGATTTTAATAAAATTTTACTCTGCACTCTGAATGGTACTGAGAAATATTACACCTTTTCTAATAAATATCATGAAACTATATACTGATTGAAGTGGTACACATTAACATGTGTATGCATATGGATACACACATAAATAAATTAGGGAATAAACAAACTATTTGTAATTTTAAAAGAAAGTTTGTTCTGAGTTTGAAAAAGAAAAAGAAGAAAAACAAGAGATTTATCAATTCTAAGTTGATAATCCCAAGTTATTCTAGCCATGGTAATAATCACTATGAGGTCAATCACTTCTCTGTCTTAATCGGGTAGATCAGTAGACAAATCATTTTGAATTAAAAAAAATTAAGTTCATGAAGTTTGGTGTAAGAGAAAAAGAAAAGTTGATTATTAAATACGTTCTAATAGTAAATTTGTAATGATACATATGATTAGTTTATATAAATGTCTGTCAAAATTTGAACTAATAGTTTGACAGAAATTGGACTTCAAGTATATAAAAGACATTAGATGCTAAAATTATATTTGAAACAATCTCATAGATTAAGATGTAAACAATTCAAACGTTTCATTTAGCAAACTGGTAAGAGCTTCTTCGGTCAATTAATTAAAATCACAAATATATAATTGGTACTCATGACTGCAAAATTGTGCATGGAGGACAGGTCACAGACTCGTTCGAAGTAAAGACCGGTGTCAGACAAGAATGCTTACTCTCACACTTTTATCTTTCTCTTGGTGATCGAATCGATCATGAAGACGTCAACATCTGAAGGGAAGCACGGGATACAGTGGACATCTAGGATGCATCTGGACGATCTAGACTTCGTAGATGATCTGGCCCCTGGCAACAACAAATGCAGGAGAAGATGATCAGTGTAGCAGCAGCCTCAGTAGCAGTAGGTCTTAATATACACAAAGGGAAAAGCAAGATTCTCCGATACAACACAGAATGCATCAATCCAATCACAATTGACGGAGAAGATTTGGAAGATGTAAAAACCTTTACATATTTGGGCAGCATCATTGATGAACAGGGTGGATCTGATGCAGATGTGAAGGCGCGGATCGGCAAAGCAAGAGCAGCATATTTACAACTGAAGAACATCTGGAATTAAAGCAACTGTCAACCAACACCAAGGTAAGCATTTTCAATACAAATGTGGAGAGAGTTCTACTGTATGGAGCGGAAACCTGGAGAACTACGAAAGCCAGAATCCAGAAGATACATGTGTTTATTAATAGTTGTCTACTTAAGACTTTTCAGCTGGATGTGTATATATCTAGATGTTGTCATTCATACTGGGACTCAAACCCAGTATCTTCCAGAAGTTACCTCGTGATTTACCAAGCCATCGAGATCGAAATAATCACTGACTTATTTAATGGATATTAGACAAGAATTTTTTTTTTGTTATTGATATTCACAACTTCATAACAACAGCACATATATCCTAAATAACTTATGATAAAATGGATGTATTGAGACAGTCATCATATAATGGACATATTATCAACAAAGATTTACAAATATTCAGTCAAGTGTATCAACAGTATAAGAACTCAAACGTTAACTAATAGGATATTAAGATGTTTTGTTTCGTTAAATAACAAATTTTCAAAGTGATAAACTAGGTTTTATGTTATTAGCGTTTCTATAGTGTTGTAAGACCTAGATTACTGTGAGAATTAACATCGTTTGTGTTTTTTGCTACAACCTTTTCGTTACTTATCACATCAATTTTTAAAATCAAGGATTTCATATTGTCCATTAATTTTTTCTTAGTTTCTCGATGAAATGAAATCTGTACATGTTTAAAAGTTACATAACTGAGATGATGCTAAGCATATTTTTTTGTAAACAATCACATTATATGAAGTGATAAGGTCCAAAGTCATAAATTCAATGAAACATGTATTTCTCAGTGATTTATCTAAGAATAACTCAGGTAGACTTTCCGAATTAGAAACCCAGTTTTTACATGAATTATCTACAAGTCATATTGTTTAAGTAGTTGAACATAGTGTACTGCTGCATATACATTATTGCCAAAAAAACTCGTTTAACAGATACATTATAAAGAAAAATGCTAAAGTCAATCATAATATGAAATTTAAGTTGTCTGCCCTTATCATTTTAATAGAATAACAAAAATAAGTAAATATTTCAATGTTTAAAGTAGGTCAAGTTTTGGAAAGGTAGGCATGAAATACTATGTAGTACACTGAAGACAAAAAGTTGTGTTGCCAAGCCAATTTTAAATACGAAAATAATAAATAAGGGATATGTAGAAAAAAAATCTGAAGGGAATAACAGCATTAAAACTTGGTAAAGTTGTATACTGATATTTTCTTGAGCATGAAAATGGAGGATATTTATATATAATTTGTTCAAATACAATAATTAGGGCTGTTCACTTGAATGTTTATAATCCTTGTTATATGCGGAAGTTAAGTTCACACTCGGTAAAAATTTAAGTTTGACCCACTATTTACACAGTCAGTCAATCTAATCGAATAAAGTTATGCATCTTCTTTTACCAGTTATATAAGTTTCCGCTAAATACACATGTGTAGTTGACAATGCGAATTAAACTATATTTTACTTGATCAACTACTATTAGCCTACTAGAAAACAACAGAGATTAACTGAATCAAATGTCATGAGTAGCATATATATATATTTCTTGTTCTAAATTTTACAATGGAAACTGTTTTATAATCCACACTTTGAACATTTATTAACTATATCGATTCCAATTTCCCCAAAGTAAATATCTAAAATTTCAATATTTTGTTATATATTGTGCGAAGTTACAATGTATTTACATAATACATATACATAGCCTTTGAGTGTACACTTACATATTCCGGTGTGTTCTGCAGTACTCAATGTCCGTTGGTTGGATATCATCAGCAACAGACTACTGTGGAGATAAAAACAGATTCCATCTGAAAAGGAAATTAGGAAGGGACATTGAAGGTGGATAAGAAATACATAACGGAAATCATCAAACTGTATTACAAAGCAAGTGCTAACTTGGAATCCTGAAGGGAAACGGAAAAGAGGAAGAACAAAGAACACACTGCGTCTTGAATTAAAATCATCTATCAAAAAGATGAATGGCGACTGGAAACAACCGTAAAGGTTTGAGATGACAGATTTGGATGAAGAATGCTGGTGAACGGCCTATGCTTCTCCACAAGGGGTAAAATGAGTAAGTAAGTAGTAAGCGTGTCCTGCAATCTAAACTGTCTTCTCGACTGGCTTCCAAGTATTCTGCCAACACCATGCTTCCAACGAACTGAAACCCTTCACTCTGTTCGACAACTGTGGTAACTTCGACACCACATTCCACTACACACTACTTACAAACATCGTTGTGAGTGACATCCAGTACACCATGTTAATTATTATCATGTATATATTTGTCCATTTCATATAGTCAAATTTTTGTTTGTAGATGAATACTTGAAAGTTACCAACGTATTGTTCTTTATTCAACAGATTTTGTAACATCTATGAAATGCACAAGCTTAAAATTACTGTTAACATCAATTATGAAAAATCAAGACGAAGAACCGGTATCTCATCTAGTTATTCTAACCTGACCAATGTTTTGTTTTCGAATGAAGTGTTTATATTTAGTTTGCATTCTATAACAGCAAGCTAGTTTTATTTATATTCTTATGATTAGTGATAAGTAGTACTTGTGTTGTCTAGTTGAAAGCATTTTTTTCTGGTTTTTTTGTAGACATTTTTAAGAAAACATTCCAACTGGTAATGTAGATATTTTAAAACGGAATACCTAGATATCACAGTGGATCGCACATTGTGTCATTTGCCTCACAGTAATCAACGATGAGGATAATAGACTGGTTATTGTTGAAATCCATGTATGATTAAGTGATGTTCTATAAATTTTCGTTTTGATTGTGTAATTATTTTTTACCAGTAAGTATAAACTATACATTTTATCATGTACATACGTATTGGCAAATCTGAACCTGGTAATATGTGCATACATAACTTGTATTGATTCATTTGTACAATCTATTCGAATATACATTTTTCAGGTTAATGTGAAAACTATGTTTTTTTACACTTCACTAACTATGATTTTATTTCTACTACTCTCTATGATACCATTACTATAAGATTAATGTATCCCTGATAAAAATGAAAAGAACAAAAACAACACAACTTATTTCAAGTGATTTAGCCAACAAATGGTATTATTTTAACATATATATCATCACCAGCTGATAACAAAACAGGATGAAATAAACGTCTCGAATTCCACTACGTCACAATTCATCTATTCTAAAAGGCAAAGTACCAACTATCCACTCTTGATCAGTTAGATCCACGAAGTATAGACTTGAGTTAGGTTTTCATGAAAGTTATACTATTATAGCAAACGAAAACATCGTGAGGACACTGAAATGTATTTCAGCATAACATTACAGAATATCTAAGTATCAAGTTAGCGTTATTATTATCATTATTTTTAATACTACTATTATTACTATGACGACTTTATAACCAAAATTTACATGTTTTTAACCTTTCTAAATTTGAAAAATGTCATTGCCGCAATATGATTTAACCAATCATGAGGGAATTTTCGGAGTTCTAGTGAGATGCCGTGACCATTGGAGCTAAGCCATGTCGGGTAGAGACAGGTATCTATCTCAGTACAAGGGAAGATGGTCCCACAATTTCGTGGATTGGTTAAAGTTAGACATTAACACTATTGAATGCAGGGTCAATGTTCTAGAGGTTAAGTGTTCACATGCGAGATCGAAGGTCCTGGGTTTGAATTGTTTTGGAGCGGGATCGTGGATACGCACTGCTGAGGAGCCCTGTAATAAAACTAAACAAACATTCAGTGCTTCCAGGTTTTCAATGGTGATCTAACATCAATCGATTCATGATCACAATAAAAAATGTAATAATCTCCACAATCCCCTATAGTGATAATCATTATTAGTTTCGGCTTTTGTTTTAAAAAATTAACAACACAGTTTTAAATTTAACACAGTTAAACATGGTTGTAAGTGGATACATTGAGCGTGAATATCCATTAATAATAAATCATTGAAATAAAAGCACAACACAATATACTGAACATATTCGTGATAACAGAACCAAGTGAAAACGATATCCAAAAGACTTCAATAAAATGATTTTAGTTTTCTTTTAGTAGATTTTTATTTAGATTTTCATAATGTTCGGTATAGATTTTTGAATTTGTGTTTTTTTCCAACACTGTATACTACCAAACGGTAGATTATCATTACTTCCAGTCAATATTCATTTGTTATTTGAATTAGTCATTATTTCGTTTTGTTCAATATCCAATTGTTTACTTCAAGGTGGTTATGATTTTAATGATTAAAATGAACCTAAACAGATAAGAACTTTCCAGTCATTTTTCAATATTCATATTCTTGAAAAATCAATCAATCAGATGATAGACAATGATAGATAAAAAATTTAGAAAGTTATCACGGAGACAAACATCAATATTGTCTCTTCATCATTATATATTTATTTTATGGAATCTATTACACGAGTTTATTATCAATGTTTTCACATAGCCTTTCTATAGTTACTAGAATGAGAATGGTATTATTAAAACTAAAGTAGATGAATTTCAATTTTTGTTCATATATAATTGGTATTGCAATTTAATGCATTCGATTAATGATAAATATACACTTGAGATTGTCAATCAATATCGGTTATTTATTGTCAATCATTTGGTTCTAGAAACTGTTGATGATTATAAAGAGATTAATATATTTGTAATATTTCAATAAGTAGAAAAATTAGGTTTTTTGACGTTTCACATTTTAGTGTAAGCCAATTCTTCAAAGAATAAATAACGAAATCAAAATTAATCCAAGTATAAATAGTACAAAGAACAACGCAAGAATATTATGAGATAAATGCAGTCAACTCATACATAATATTCTTGCGTTGTTCCTTTGTACTATTTAAACGTGATTTGGTTAATTTTATTCTCTGAAGAAGTGGCTTACACTAAGTCACGAAACGTCAAAAAATTTAATTTTTCTACTCATTGGAATATTACAAATATATTGATGAATTTATTCATAACAATCTACCCAATACTCAAGTTATTCGAAATTATCAAGTCAAACTTCTGGTAATGATTAGTTGAATAAAATTACTAATTGTGGTATTATTTGTGAGTTAGATTAAATTGAAAACGGATTAGTTGTTTTGCATCAGTTTATATCGTCTATAAAGATAAATTAACTTCAGACAATCTGAAAAAAAAGTATTTAATCATACAGTGTTATAATGAACTCGAATAGTTTGGTGTATCAATGAGAGTTTCGATTTAACTTACAGCTGTTTAATCATATGATATGCTCAGAAACTAGACAACAGTTGCTTTCATCTCATATTTTCTTCCACTATATTATTGCGTCATTTTACAGATCGATAATGTTAGTATAAGAAAAAAACGTATTTTGATGTAATTGACTAACTTACATTTTTATGGCCCGAATTTTATGAAATGAATTACCCAAAATAACAAATAAAAAGGTTAACTTATTGTTTGTTCATCATTTATGGTTCTGGATGTTTTCTTTTTGTTTAGTAATATAAATAAAACTCAATAAAAGAATCCGTTTTCATAAAAAAAACAAAGTAAACAATAGACTAAGCTCATGTAATACTGATATTCAAATAACCCTATGAAAGTTTGACAGTATAAAATTATATGAAAACATATGAACATTTGTTTTCAATATAAGTTCGTTATGCAATAAAAATATTGAATTAAATCACAATTTGAAAGTTGTTTGTTGAACCATAGATCAATTTCTATTGTGAAGTTGCCAAATAAAACAAACAAAATAATTGTAAATTGATTTATGATAGTCAATTGTGTTAATATATTACAGAAACTATTCTCAAACTATATCAATGATTGAATGAACTATCAACATAAATAGGTATCATTACCAAGGTTTGATTTGATAATTTCAAATAAATTGAGCATTGGGTAGATTCTTATAAATAAATCCATTAATATGTGTAATATGCCAATGAGTGGAAAACTTAAATTTTCTGACATTTCGTGACTTAGTGTAGGCCAAATCAAAATTAATCCAAGTTTAAATAGTACAAACGGAACAACAAGAATATTGCGTCACATAATATCTAAAACTGAACGGAAACATTTATTCACATTACTCATTTTTTGTTAGATAACTGTTTTACTTCTTCAGTATTAATTACTCGCGACCTACCATAGTGTCTAACTAACCTCTTTATGTTTTCGAGTCGAGTATCATGTAATTTAATCATTTTTGTCACATAATATTCTTGTTGTTCCGTTTGTACTATTTAAACTTTAATTAATTTCGATTTGGTTATTCACTCTTCCCTGAAGAAATGGTTCACACTAAGTCACGAAATGTCAGAAAATTTAAATTTTCTACTCATTGAAATATTACAAATATATTATTTCTTTACATCTATATAAATAATAAGAGTATAGAAATATGTTTAAGCAAGCGTTTCTTGATTCTTTTAAAGTGAGTTGTTAAATCACTATTTAAAGAATGAAGAAACTGTTTAAAATCGAGTTTAGTAGTGTACATCAAAATACTTTAAGGTCAAACAACTAATAGCTTATGTTCATCCTTCTTTTGTAGTAGTAACAGTAGTAGTAAAACATTGCTTATTTAGATATTTGAAGTAACTTTTAACCTCTATTACTATTAGATAACTTTTATTATTATTAATGGCTTTATTCAATATTATATTTTGGTACAATATAGAATTCTCAGCACAGGGTATTTCAACAAGTTTCTTAGACAAAAAAAGAAACAAAGACAAAAAAGGGAAGAAAGGTTTAAAAAAACCTGAAAAACTGTACAACTTTTCAAATTAGAGACATGTTAAGAATGCAGGTTATTGACTAGGTTAACTCTAACAAACTTTTCGTCACAGAGTATATTTGCCAGGTAAGGTATTATAGAACTTACATACTTTTGCTTGCGTGCATGGATTTTAATGTAATTACATCTCGTTCTACTAGAAGATATACAAGGAGAAAGATAAGAGTGAAGGGGATGGTTAGTATCTGATAAAAATAACACATGCCAGGAGTTTGCATGACTTTAGATGTCTATCCACAACCATATTAATTATGACCTCGAAAGATTCACCACACATCTTGCTAACTGCCTTCAGCACTCTCCGCAATACAGAAAAGTCTTTTCTCAAAAGCCTGGGAAAGAATAATCGAGAACAGTAAAGAATAATAGGTAGTATGTAGGAATTGACAAGTTGTAAGAGTAAATGACGAATAATCCCTAGAGTATGGTGGAGAAGATTTGTAGCTCAGGTGGATGATTTTGATGGAGTTTTGTTCTCTGAGCTCAGAGAACAAAACTCCATCAAAATAAAAATCCCTAGAGTATGCAATCTCTTTATGTAGTAAGTCAGACGGAAAACCTTCTTCAATAACAATAAAACGCGAGAAAACCAAGGGAGATCAGAGGAAAAGGTAACACCATGATAATTGACCTTCGACACTCTGTTTATCAAAGAGTCTCCAATGGTACAAACATTATGGGATCTCAAAATGGTATTTAGATTCCGTTCATTTCTCATGCTAAAGTTAACAGCTTGACATTTAGATGGATTAATTATAAGACCGTTACCAACAGACCAACAATCAATACGAGACAAAAACTCACTCATTTCTATGGGATGTAAAGAGGAAGAGATAGGCATACATACAGTAAGATTATCCGTATATTTCACAAAAGTGTTTTCTGTGGAAGATTGCAGATCATGCAGAAAAAAAGAGAAAGGAAGAGATGAAAGAACAGCTCCTTTTGGTACACCTTCATGAGACAGTAGAGACTTTGAACACCTTCCTCCAAATACAGTGTACTATTGAGATTAGATGGTGGTTGGAGGTAGTCAACAGGAAACCCTGAACCCGGGTTTCGTGCTACTTGGCACCCGTCAGCAAGGTGTACCTGTAATCTTGAGGGACTGGTGCTCCCTGGCGGATTCGATCTCGTGTCACCCAGCTTCACAGTCAGAGACGTTACCACTGAGCTATCCGAGCCGTGACTAACCTCCTGTAGGACTGAGATGTAATCACAATTGATTGATCACCACCCAGTGATCAATCAATTGTGATTACAGTGTACTATTTCCTACCAGAGAGGTAGGAACATAGCCAGTTGATTATGCAGATGTCAGTGTTGACGCTGATTAACTTGTTACGTAAACGTTGTCTTGGTATGGAATCAAAAGCTGATGTATAGTCCAGAAAAGCGCATCGAACATACTTCTTACCCTTTTCTAAGTTGGACACTATATTGTGATGTAGAACAGCAACAGTATCTAAGGTGCTTCTTTTGCATCTGTAGGCAAACTGATACGGATCAATATGCTGTTTTGTGCAAAAAACAGATTAATCGTTGTAATACCTAATTTGTGGTTTCAATCTGTGTAATAATTTGTAGTATATTGTTTGTGATAGTTTATTTATATAGTTTTACCAATAAAGTGAATTTATTTATTAACTTATAGTTTTCATTTTCTTATTATTTAATAGAGTCTTATAGATAATGCAAAGAATCTGCTAAATACAATGGAAAACTGAAATGCTTGAAAATAAACATTTTAATTCTGTTTAATAGAACAAATAATAATTATGCAAATAAATCTATTTGTTTAGTATTTAAAACATACTTTTTGATATTGTCATATTTTTTGATGATTAAGCTTATTTCACCGTCTTCAAAATAATGCAGTATTTTCAATTGTTTATTAATTGAATTCATGAGTCAATTGCAGCTTGATCACCATGGAAAAAACTGGAAGTACGGGACGGTCGTTTTACCTTGGTATAGGACTCCTCAGTGGTGCACGTGCATGATCCTGCCCACGAGATCCAAACAGAGGATCAATTGGTTTGGTGCGTGAATGCTTAACCCTTAGACCACCATTCAGTTATGAATTTAAACGTTCGCGCACGAGACCAATAGGTCCTGGGTTCAAAACCCGCGAGACAGGATTGTGGATGCGCACTGCTGTGGAGTCCCACAGTAGGATGAAATGGCCATCCAATGCTTCCATCTTTTCCATGATGGTCTGACCTCGATTGACTCATGAATCAATTATTACATTACCATAATCTCCACAAAACCCTTCTCTGATTATATTCACTTATATTGCAAATGATTGCCATCCCTGAAGTTTATTACAATCCAGTTAAGAATAATCACAACAATCGTGTATAATCGAGAACAAATGAAAGAAACTAAATACCATCATAATTTTCAGTCTGAAGATTTATTCTTTCTCAATAATTTTCTATTGTATTGTAAATCAAAAAGAAACCTTTAAAGTTAAACAGCTCTCTCATTTACTTATAGTACAATTATCATAAAAGTATGTTTTATGATAAAATCAATAATTAAAAAAAATTTCATTATCCTAATTGAGTAATTAAAACAGATAGATTTCACTTTTTTAACGTCATGAAAAAGAAAATTTATACAGTGAACATAGTAATTCAATATTAAAACATAGAACAATATTGTGCTTTATAGTAGGTGCTAACTATGATATAATCATTGTTAGTTAAATGATTCTATTATGTTATATTCAAGTTTTCTTAATTTCTTAAGAATATTTTACATTTTAATATATGGAAATAAAATTTCCAATTTTTCTTTATCAAATATTCAAAATTCATGGTTGAGGTTAGATATCAACACCATCGGATGCCGGCTCAGTGGTCCAGTAGGTTGAGCGTACGCGCGTGAGGCTTAAGGCCCTGAGTTCGAATCATGCGAGCGGGATCGTGGATGCGCACTGCTGAGGAGTCACACAATAGGACGAAACGGCCGTCCAGTGCTTCCAGGTTTTCAATGGTGATCTAACATCAATCGGTTCATGATCTCAATCAAGAAAAAACCTTAAACGAAATTAAATTCTTCAAAAATTTCTTAAATCTCTTTAAAATAAATTCATTGCTTTGAATGTTACACTACAATACGTTCCTATACTACTGGTTACATTGGATTTACTTCATATTCTTTTGATGAGATACTACACAATACATTCTTCCTTTTGTAATGTTACATATCAACTTGGCGCCCAAATATTATGATGAAACTATCTAAAACAAATTTAAATGAAAGTTCTTATACAATATTATCTCTCATTGAACATAGAAAATAGTATTTCTTTATCTTAGAAAGACAAAATCAGTCAAAAAAAGATTCTTGTAATTTACGTTTTTTGTTAGAAATATAAAAGAAAGGAAAAAACCTCCAGTCTATTTGAACAAAAAATATTGATCATTTTAAACATTTTTAAAAGATGGATCTTATTTACGTTTACGATCGGATTTATGTCTTCTATTGAAATATTTATTTTAAGCATTATAGACAACATCAATTATTTTATAATTATAAACTGATAGTTGTAACTAAGTGTCATTTTCAAAATGGAATTCAATTATTTAATGGAAAAAATAACACATATCACCAATTGCTAATATATACGACATAAGAAATCAATAATTTTCCTATCTACAATTTCATATGATTAGATAGAACTAGACTATATATATAATACAACAGTATTATATGTATTGTTATGCATGTTACATTGTTAAAAGGAAAAAAATAAACTATATAGGGAAAATTTAAATGTATATTCATGTAAAACTTACGAATCAATGTGAAACCTCTAAATTGATGATTGTCTTTCATTATCTAAATAAAGATTTTCAACATCATAGATGTTATTAAATTGAATGATATCAATAAGGGTTATTATATCCATTTGAACTTAAGAATGGTTTTATAATTTGGTAAAAGAAATCTCATAACTGAATTAAAATCTTATATTTGTGTATATATATTCAACAGGTTTCTATTAGTGAATTCGTAATACATGCTTTATATAGTTTGAAAAATTAGTTAAATTCAGAGACTAAATATCAGAGAAATGTGAGTAGTTTTTCGTCAACTTGAAAATGAATGATTAGAGCATAACTAATTCAAGGGAACTATTCAATATATTCATTATTATTTGATTTCTTGTTTCGTTTAAACTTTGTGGTGGTATAAGTGATTGACATAATTCTAAGGTAATCAGTAACGATCGATTTACTTGATCGACACACATCTTTTATAAATTGTTTTGATAATAACTTTGAAAAAAATATATTTTATAAAACATACAAATTTTAGACAGAAATTCAGAGGTGAAATTTGACAATTAGCAATTATATTCACTAATATTTATTTATATACATTCAAACATCATTGTTTATGTAATGCTCATCTAAATGTAACCGAATATATTTACTTAGCAGTTCCATATAGTTTTACTGGAACAATGAAGTCGAATTAACAACTTGAGCAAGTTTCAGAATAAACTGATTGAAGCATTTTACCAATAATCTGTATAATTTCAAAAATGTTAGTTTGAAAAAGACATATATATGTATATATGTAATAGTCGTTCAAGATGGAGACGCAGTAGTGCATATTACAGCAAATCATTCTGTTAAGCACAATATACGCATTCCCGGAACATTATTCCATTGAGATCACTTACTACATTAATATTAGTCTTATAACTTAAATATTATCTCTAAATCGTAAAATTTACTTACTAGTTTATTCATAATATCTCTAACATATTCGTAGTTATCATTGCCATGGTATAACTTGGTAATTTCTAATAAATTGAGTATTGGGTAGATTGCAATGTCCCAATGAGTAGAAGAATAAAGGTTTTGAATTTTCTGACTTGTCGTGATTCAGTGTAAGCCATTTTTTTTTAGAGAATATGTCGGAAAATTACAAATATGTACAAATATTTATTATTTATTTCTAACATATTGTTTTGTATGGTCTTATCCTAACTTCAAACTAGTATGAACATGATTCAATCAGTAATGTTTTAAAGATATCACAAAGAAAATCCAATCTTGCGCGCGTATCTTTTTGAATAGCTGATAAAATTATGATAAGATACAGTGGTTCATAGTGGTTAGTTTCAAATATTATACAGTAGTCACAAGTGAATGTCGGTAAAATCTTTCTAAAATGAACCTAGCAAGTGTCCAATACTTCTTGGTCTTTATTCACCTTAAATATCATATCTTTTATTAGGCTAAGTATCTTCGTATTCTACACGAGTATAATTTAAGAACGTTTTGAAAGAAAATCATTATAATTTCTATGACGTCAAATCATGTCCGACTAAATTTAATGACAGTATTAAATAACTTTGTACTTTGTAAGCAATTGTTAGACACGAAATATTTTAGGCGGAATGATTACTTGATTTGCCTTTGATGGCATCCATACTCAATTAGTAACTTCATAACCATTTCCAATAGAAAGTTATTAGTGTTTACTATTGTGTTTAATGAAAGTGAGAGTTGTTAGACTTCACAAAATAAATATATTGAAGATTTATTTTATTTTAAATATTTTAAACATAAATTCAGACTACATTCATTCAGTCTGAACGAAAAACGTTTTTTTAAGTAACTGTCAATCGAGAAGATTTCATTCATAACCGACAATACTTAACGTATACAATAGAATACAGATATACTTTACTGGTGAGTAACAAATAACATAAGACCCAGATGAAAAAATTTTATTACTCACCTTCAACGGTTCAACTCCGAAAATACTTTCATCCAATATGGAATTAACATTTTTGATAATGGTACATCAGCTTGTTCATCAAAAGAATACAATGAACTCTGAGGAATAGATAGTATGACATGTATTATGACAAATCATTGATGAATTAATACTATTCCCTTTTCAAATTAATATTTAAGTACATATTTATGTAATAAAAATTTAGAAGACGTCACTATTTTTTTCCCTGAGAGTATTCTGTGATAAAAGTCAATATTTAAATTTAATAAAAATTTATATTTTTTTTTTTTAAATAATGATTAACGCATAAAAATTCTCACTGGATGAGTCGTTTTTAGTTTCCAACTTAGCAACGATTGTATTCAAATTTGTAAAGCCCATATTTGGTAATTACATGAACAATTAGAATCAACTTGTAAATGGAAATCTATTTATGTAAATGTATAGACGTAATGAATATGTATGGTCATAATCATTTTTCTTGTGTAGGTTATTTACTATTAATAGGCATATTACTATTAGCTTATTTTCCGGATTAGTTAGTTATTTCTCTCATCAATATGTTTAAGGAGAGAATATATCTCTTTTATAATGACTATTTCGGCTTGTTTTTGAATTTAAGAAAAAAACAACTTAATAATCAATGTAACAGGTGTAAATGATAAGAGATGAGGGTTGGCTGAAAACTTATTGTTAGTGATTTAGTCACCATTCACTGTGCAGAAGCACATTTAACAAAGATTTCTTAATCAGTATCATATAAGAACGTTTACTAATTTGATGTAATGACCAAAATATGAATATTTATTATTTTAATAGTCGAGATCATGAGTCAATTGAAGCTAGATCACCATGGAAAACATGGAAGCACTGGAAGGTCACTTCATTCTACTGTAGGACTCGTCAGCAGTGAGCATCTAAGATCATACCTCGTGAGATTCGAACCCAGGACCTATTGGTCTCGTGTGCAAACGCTTATCCATTAGACCGCTGAGCCGGCATTCAACGGTGTTAATTTCTAACTTCAACTA